GGTTAGCAGGGAATAAGGGAACATCATCCACATAATCCCCATAGAATATATATATATATTCCCCTATCTCCTGCTAACCCTCAGTAAGTTACATTATTGCGCAACTCCCAAAAAGTTCTCCTTAGCTCACATCCTGCAAGGAGCTTAGGGCCTTAGGACTTGGAGGGAAGGCTTTAAGGCTTAGGGGTTGGGGGTTCAGGGCTTTTGGGCTTCAGGTTCTTGGTGTGGTGTTTAGAAGGAAACCAATGCATTTCAGACCAAGCAAAGTGCAAGTCTCTGCATGAGCCAATTTTTGAATCATTTGGGACGAGAAAAAACCTAAACCCTAAACCCTCTCTTGGGACGAGCCAGCCAGTAATCACTTGGGACGAGTGACTCTTGTTCTGTCAGGTTTCGGGTTGGGGGGCCGGATTTGGGTTCAGGGTTTGGGGCTGTTTACGGTTTAGGCTTGGGGGTTCTCCTTATCTTTTCCATTATCCTTGTATAACCCCAATATATACCCTATTACAGTATAGTAGTTTCCATGTTATTTTCCATTATCCCTATTGTAGGGCTGAGGATTGGGGAGCTTGAGGATGGTTGAGGTTCAGGCTGTGCCGTTGTTTACTCTAAGGGATTTGGAACCCCAGTAGAAATTACAATTTCAGCTAAATATTAGGATTCTAGGTAACAGAATTCAAAAAGTAATTTCAGGAACCTTGTAGTTTAGGGTTCAATGTTGCGGGTTGTCCACGGTTTAGGGTTGGTGGTTTCAGTACTGCGGGTTTAGTTGGGATTTAGGGGTTGCTCAGGGTTTGGGATTTGGTGTTGTTTAAATGTGAAGTTGCTCGGGGTTGGGGTTTGGGCGTGTTTGGGTCTCAGTGTTTGAAGTTTATTTGCCTTTATGGCTTGTGTTCGTGTGGGGCTGAAGCTCTGAGCCTGTAACGGCTTCGTCACTCAGACCGGGTTGTGCAAATGGATTTGAGTAGCGTTTTTTTTGGTGGTTGAACCTAGTAAGATTATATCCCCTATATAAAATACTATACGCCAAAAGGAGGATATAATCTTACTCTACAATGGGTACCATAGTATCCCCAAATAATACTACTCATTTGAGGTTTCGGGGTTGAGGGATCATGGGACACTCGGGACCAGTTGCCCTGTCCTTTTCAAGGTTGACAACAAGCTTGCAAGCACCGGCTTCATCTCAAGGAGCCATGTTATCATAAGTTCGGGCCAGGGAGAGAACGAATGAATGGTGCTAGAAATCTGCGTAACCATCCTGCGTCGAATCTCCATAGCCATAAGTGACTTTCAGGACATTCTTCAGCGGGCCCAAAAGTCTAACCCCAAAGCCTGAAAGGGTTCTGAAGCCTTTCCTCCCTGCAGCAAGACATACGGCCACTAGCTAAGCCGTAACACCTAGAGGAGCACAAAGCAAGCACTAGTATTGTGACGACCATGACGACGATGAGCAACCCTAATTGGTCGGGTTCCTCATTCAGATGCTGCGGTTTAGGGCTTAGGGTAAACTGTAGCTTTGCATTTCTGGTTGCCCTCAGAAAAAAAGGCTGAACATGATGTTCACCTCGAAACAATAAGTCACGCGGAAGAGCTGCCGGGAGCCTTGTGTGTAGCATCCGAGTACTGGGCATTCTTGTCATTCGACTGCATGATCTGTTCCCAAATAGACCTTAGGTGGGGGTTTACGCAGCGAGTGTCAGCCAAGACAGTTCAAAGCCTGCCGAGACAGCCCGTGGCCTATGATAGTCTACTTTTACCTAATTTCCTACCACTTTGGGATACCGCTACGTTTACCTAGTCTCCTACCAATTTGGGCTAAACCCTCACCGTACTTTTACCCAATGCCATACCACTTTGGGATAAAAGTAGCTCATCGGTCTGTCTGGCTAGCTTGGATTTCAAGGTACACCCTAGACTTGCCACAAAATCAGATGCAGTTATAGGTTTTTATATGGTTTTATAAGATTTGATTATGGCTATATAGGGGTATGTAGACCCCTGATTAATAAACCCCTACTTTCAAGGGACTTCATATTAGGATCCTTATTATAATTCCTCAACACTAGAGCCAAGTACTCTCGCCCAAAACGAATGCGGAACCCCACATAGGTCCCAGCAAAACACAGTCAGTAGGGTGCCTTTCCAAGTTCCATGCCGAGTTTACTACGGCAGGTTTGGGGGGCCCTGTATAAAGTAAATCTTTATGGCTTTAAAAAGACTATAGTGGGGGTTAAGGGTAGTAAAAAAGTAATTCTAAACGTACCCCTGCTTAGGGGAAGATACCCCTTTCGGCTTGACCTGGCAAAACCCTAAGCACCAAAATCCGGACTTGTCAACACCAGCATCCGACAGCACCAAATCCAGAAACCCGTGATGTCTTACACCCAAAGCTTCTTGGTTGGCCTTTAGAGACCCTTGAAAATTGGTATAGACACGGTTTTGGGTTTTGGGTTTAGGGTTTAGGGTGTAGGGTTTAGATGGGTCCCTATAAACCCAAATAGGGAAATATTCAAGGAACCCAAATGCCTACCCAGGCTTAATCCTGTAAGCAAACCCGGTGTGCTCTCAAAGAATCTCTACACAAGTACACAACTCCAGCACTGAATCCTTCAAAGCCCTCATCAAGGCTTGGCCAAGTTGTTCATCCAACCAGGTTCTACCCAGGGAGTCCAGTACCCCTTAATTAAGGAACATACCTTAATATGAATATTAAGGGGCCTAGGATGATGTAAGGTATATTCCTTGATCAAGCTATAGTGGGCTCTCTGGGTACGCCCAAACTCCCTATCAGCATGGGGGTTTCCCAAAATTAGCAGTGCCTTTTTGGGGAGGTCCCTATAAGGAGGATGAGAGTATTTGTGGGTCCATATTGACCGTATCACTTTGAAGAAAGATACAAAGGGGCCCGGTTCGATTCAATCTCTAAAAAAACTCCGTCCCACAGAATCATCAGGCCCGCGTAACACCGTGGATCAAACTCCCTTTTAACATGTCTCCTCGACGTTTGCCCTCTCCGAAGCCCCTAAGCCCTAAACGCCTCTGAAGCTCCTCACTGTGGTTGTTGGACGTGATTTGGGTGGTTGTCAAAATTATGGTTCCTTTTTTGGGTACCCTAGATATTAGGTGCCGTTTTCTGAAAGGGACCCAAAAAGGGACCATAATTTTGATAACCACCCATTTGTACTTTTGTTCTACCAAAAACTCAATAACGACTATCAAGCTATGGCTTCCATGCTAAAACCTTAAGACACTAAACCCCTCTGAAACCTCAAGTCTTCGGGCCAAAGCGCCATGCGTACTAAAAGCCCTGATCAAGGATATAGCTACCCCCAATAAGGAACCAGCTCAAGTCATCCGGTCGCTATGGGATTCCCAGTTTGTGGGCCATTACATTTACCGACCTCATGAAGGGTTTTGGGGGTTATTGGGCCTCATTAGGTTAAGCTCAAGCACTGGGCCAAGGCACCATATGCCCTAAACCCCTAACCCTACACCCTAAACCCAAAACCCCAAACCCTAAACCCTATACCCTAAACCTTCAATAGGGAGGCAGCTCAAGCACCGGGACGAGGCACCATGTGTATCGGAGCGGCAGGTCCTTCTTGAGCATCTCCTCGTTCTCCTCGGTGTTGTCGGAGGTGAACCTGGGAAGGTTAGGGTTTCGGCTATGGTTCTATTGGGGAAATATAGGGGCTATAGGGGTTATATAGGGTTATATAGGGTTATATTGGGGTAATATAGGGGTTATATAGGGTTATATTGGGGTAATATTAGGGGTTATAGGGGTTATAGTGGGAGAATGGAAAAGAAAATGGAAACTACTATTTAGGGTTTAGGGTTTAGGGTTTAGTGGTTTCCTGGTTTAAGGTTTGGGGTTTAGGGGTCTAGGGTTTAAGGTTCAGGGTTTAGGTCTAAGGGTCTAGGGTTTAAGGGTTTCGGGTTTAGGGGTTTTAAGTTTAGGGGTTTTGGGGTTTAAGGTTTAGGGTTCGAGGTGTAGGGTTCCGGAACCTGGGAAGGCATGGGGGCATTTTACCTGGATTTAGGGCAGGGAAGGAAAGAATGGAAAAGAAAATGGAAACTTCGATTTTAGGGTCTAGTTTAGGGCTTAGGGTTTAGGGCACGGAATGAAGGAGCGAAAAGAAACTGGAAGCTACCAGATAGGGTTTAGGGTTTCGTACTCAGGGGTTTAGTGTTAAAGGTTCAGGGATACATAAGGGCTTGTATAGTGATCGCTTTCCTTTTTCTCAAAACCCTAAACACTTAAACCTTGAACCCTAAAGCCCTAAACCCCTAAACCCAAATCCAAATCAGGGTCCCGGGCTTTGGATTCAGGATCTCCGGGTCCGGGTGTAGGTCTGTAGGACTTAATGTCAGGGTTTAGGATTTTGGGTTTAGAGGCTTAATAAGGGTTATACTACTTTGAAATCGATTTTAGGAGACACCCCATTCATGGAAACTACCATTTAGGGTTAAAGGTTCCCCGCTAAACCCACCCGACCCTGTCGTCTTTTAAATAAAGACCCCAACAACAACTCCAGCGGAGGGAGTGAAGGTCACCCAACCAATCATGTTTAAAGCCACCCGAAAGCGCTTGCCCTAAACCTTTCAACCTAAATCCCAAACCCTGAAGCTACAGTTAACATCAAACGCCTCTCATGACCTTTGTAAACTAGAGTACCATAATTCCCGAGCTGTCATGTACCCGGGGCCATGCAACGCTAACTCCTAAACCATAAACCTTAATGCCTAAACCCTAATCCTTAAACCCTAAACCCTCAAGCCCATAGAAACTTACCATTACTTGGGGTTCTCAAATTTCCTTAATCTCAAAATTTTGAATTTTCCAGTTTCAAAATTTAAAAGTCCGCCCCCCCAAACCCAAAGTAATGGCAATAAACCAACCCTAAACCCTAAACCCACCGCCCAGCAGCTTCAGGTTTGCGTTGACAGTCTCATTGAAACTGAGGTAAGCCATCCTTGGAGTAGGCTTTCTTTAAAGGGTTTAAGGATATAGGGATATAGGGATTTAGGGATTTAGGGATTTAGGAGTTTAAGGGTTTAGGGTTTAGGGTTTAGGGGCTTACAGTTTAGGGTTTTGGGCTTGGGGGGCGTTGGGGTTAGGGGTTTCAGGGCTTAAGAGGGGGTTGGCGACTTCGGGATTTAGGGTTTAAGGGTTTACGGTGTAGGCGTTGAAGGCTTAGGAATCTCAAGTCTGGAGTTAGGGATTTGGGTTTCAGGGTTTGGAGGTTTTGGGTTTAGGGGTCTAGGGTGGGATGTGGAGCTTGCTTGCCTAAGTGGCCGGTTCTTAACACATGAGGAACCCTTGGGACCCCGAGGATGCACGGGGGTTACAAAGGAACTAGGAGGTCAATAGGGTTTAGGGGCGTATGTAGTAAGATGGGCATCCCAAAATGAGGGGCACCTATTTCGGTGTCGAATAAGGATTACAGTGTATTGGGGTGATAGGGTTGAGGGTTGAGCAATTTTGAAGCTGTCGTTTCACAGTAGGATTGCAGACTACGATTTCTTGAGCTCGCATCCCTAACGCCAGCTTTGACAGCAAACCACCCTCTCTGCCATAGTCTCCAGAGTCCCCAATATAGCTTAATTAAGGAATGACCTTAACTTGTAGTAACACCCTTAATATGATTTTGGGTATATTCCGTGTTTAAGCTATATTGCGTTCCCTGGGTCTCTGCCGCAGACAGCTCCGGGTAAGACAAGGGCTGCCTTCTCTATCCAGTTGCTAGGCCAGAATCGTTTACACCTCCTGTTCGAGAGGGTTATAGGAGTCAAAAATGTAATGCGTACCTAGCCAACTATTAAGTTCATATACTCAACCTTGAATCTCTGTGTAGTCCCCCGCACCTTCTCAGGCATCATGCCTCTTGAGCTGGCCAGAGATCTAAGGAGGCTCCTAATCTACCATGCCCCATATAAGTCCGCAGTTGTTACACTCCTCCAGTCCAAACTATAGCCACACAGAACATTATCACATTCGCATGCTTTCTGTAGACGTTGGGTACACACGAACATTCCCGCTAGTACAAGCTACCGTCGAACCTAACCCTTGCCCTTAAACACCTCATGGCATGCTCCCTACATGGAGGTTCATGGGCGCCTATGAGTGGGCTATAAGATCTCTGCTTCAAGTTCAAACTGCTTAAACTCCCTCAACCCGAAACCCTAAACTATGTGGCTACCCATGAGCCTTCAAAAGGGGGAGAGATGCCAAGGAAGGGCCGAGCGGCGTTCTTCTTCGAGAGAATGCTGATGCCCTCAGACAGGCACAGTTCATGCACCAAGTATGGCTCTTATTGTAGCTGTTATTGTAGCAACACAGATCATTGTTCTTGATTAGTACCGCAACTACCTTAACCCGTGTCATTACGCATATGGTGCTTGTCTGATGTTCTCACTGTTACCACCATTGACTCTATTTCCGTTGCTACATTACTTCCGCTCGAGGCTTCTGGGAAGAGGGGTTAAAGGGCTCTTCAGAAGTCCTCAACACAACCACCAGGTTGAGATTCTAAAATTGTGAGTATAACTATGGTACTCTAGCTACCTCCTTTCTTCCTCTTACTACAACAGTTGCTGCTGCTTCTACTTCTGCTCCTGCTTATGCTGCTGCTGCCGCCATTACAACATGTACAAGTCACGAAGGCTGTCAAACCCGGTTCCTATTACACTATGGACCCTAATATTCGGGGTTCCCCAAAATGGGACCTGAATTTTGCAATCAAAGCCCTCAAAACGCCTTGTATAATCTCGGCGTCCATGTAATTATCTATGTTCTTTTCCATTTGACTATCCATCATTTGGGGGGTAATACGTTTTTACTGGCCCATTCTCGCCAACCTTCTACTAGCTTTATCCCTGGGCTTGGGTGAACCGAAGAGAGACCTTTTGAACTTTCGGGGTTTAAGTTCTAGGACTTAGGGCTTACACGTAGGCTCACCGGGATGCGTGACAATCAAGCCAGTTTCCACTTGGGTTTCCATTGGCTTTTTTCATTTGAGCCGCCAGTATTAAGGTACTATCCCTAAACCCTTCCATTTAAGTCGCCATTCTTAAGGTAAAATTCCCTAAACCCTAACTACTCCCATACTAAACTCTCTCTCTCTCTCTCTCTCTCTTGCAGAGAAGCCTCTGAGAAAACTGCCGGCTAAACTTCCCACATCCTCTTGCTGAGCCACCCCCAAGGTTCGAGCCCCGTCAGCGTTGCATTGAGTCACGCGGTTTAGGGTTTAGGGTTTAGGGTTTAGGGGGTCTATAGCCCCCCTTAAGTAGGTAGAATATGGTTTTAGGTATATTCTAATAGTTTGAGGGGGTCTATAGTCCCCCTTAAGTAGGTAGAATAGGGTTTTAGGTATATTCTAATAGTTTGAGGG